CCCCCCCCCCCCCCCCCCCCCCCCCCCCCCCCCCCATCTTGTATAACCTCAATGTCATAACTGGGCCCACCTAGTTACAGCACTAATCAGGTTGCTAGAACAAACATCTTCAGGTTTTGCTTTTAACTGAATGGGATCTGCAAACATTAGGATAAAAAGCTAATTTGGTACTAGAAGTTCCAGTTTTTAATACTGTTTTAATGTGTTTAATATTTTAAGGGAGTAACCTTTAAATATGCTAAAAAGAAGTGATAGTTGAAGGCTGAATAAATGGCTAAGTTGAGTTTCCCCATTTAATGGCCTTAGAAGAGTCAGAACATCAACTCACAGTAATCATTACATAGCATGTTAAAAAAGAAAGCATTAAATTCCTTCAGAGCATCATAGCATTCCCAAAAGACTATTAACATTTTCTTCTTTTACTCATTTCAACACTGACAGCCCACATGGGATTGAGGGGTTTTTGACTTAAGGATGGAGATAAATGCAGTACCATAAGAAGCTTACTTTACATCACGAGTGAGCTGAGTAGTTTAAATCATGCAACCATTTGGACAAAGTAAACAGTCTGATAGCTTATTAGATTTTTATAACCTTCATTGTTGAAAGTTTATTACTAAGCATTTGTAATGGCTTGCTCTTCCCTCTTCCTTCCTTCCTTCCTTCCTTCATTTATTTATTTATTTTTAAATCTATATGCTGCCCATATCCCCAGAAATTTAGAATCAAAAAGGGTATCTTTGATGTATACCATCTCCTATGATTTAGGAGGCAGTATTAAAATTACTCCCAAGAACCGTTCATGAATTTTTGATCCCTCTTACTCTCTGTTCATGGTATTTTTCTGGTCAGGCCAAAATGTCCTGGCTCCTCAGATTCTTAGACCCAGACATAGCAAGAAGGAAGATTACAGGTGGAAAAATGACACCACTTTGCTTAGTCTCCTATTCTGTAGTTTATGGCCTGCATAAGAGGGAAAATGCTACTTCAAAACTGGAACAGCTAACAAACATATCAAGTCTACCAGAGGCATGGTTTGGAGATGAGACGAAAGCAATGTTATGAGGACATGGCAGAAAAGAAATTACCAGGACATGTTCATGTCATGGTTAGGCGTGACTGGGGAAAGGGCACTTAATCCATTGTTTTTTCCTCTCATAAACTACTCCAGAAACAGAAGTCACTTTAGCAGTGCTATGGGGTATAGTGAGTCATGGGAAAGTTTTATTTTTCTTTGTGATGCTGTGGGAACTATTCACTGTTTAAAATCATGTCATTACAATCTTTCACCATCCTACTCCTTCTCACTATTTCGATGTGATTATGTTCTTAATTATAGGAACCGAATGGGAATTTGATTTGGTAAGTATAGGATTGTATCATGTCTGTTATTGGAGCAATACAAAGTAAACTGAACAGCACATTAGCCCTGATAACTTTTCAGCTTGAATTACTAATACATTTTCTACTCATGTAATCTGGGAAGTGAAGTATATCCTAGGCTTGAAAGAAGATGTAAGTGATGCAACCAACAAAAGTAGCTAAAATAAACTATGTCTTAAAAAAAAAAGCATCTATTATCGTGATCAAAACTTTGCATTCTTCAATTATATCAAGCACTATTCTGCACCTGCAATTAATTGTAAGCATTTATCCTTTTAAGCATACATTAAATTGCAGCTGCCAAAATAGGGACAGGACTCAAGTGCTTTGAAGATACTTTGTGCATAAATACCTCAAGGTTAATTCTATGCTTCATAGGCTTTTGGAAAAGCTATTATAATGTAATCACTATCAAATGTATCTTAGCTGTCTTTTTGATTCAGAATACTCTGAGGTGCTCTTCATCATATGAACAACTGGCAATAGCCATGAGACCTTGGAAAGGTTTGTAAAGGCCAAATCACATTCTTATTAAATATAACCAAGAATATGAATGGTATATTTGTTATCCTAAATGCAGCATCTTGCTGTGCTGCTTTAAGTTGTTTCCTCCTGGAAGTTAACCAGGCTGGGGAAAAATGGCTTCAAGTAAGGAAAAAATAAAAATTTGCTTCTTTTCCCCATGTACTACTTCATTAAGCATGCACATGCCCATTTCACTATACCACGGTCACATCTGGTTTAGTCACAGGGTTGAATCCAAAAAAGGAAGAGCAAAAAACATTCATTAGTGCTATACAATGAACTGTTATGATATGAACAGATGGGCAAACACAAAGAAAGAACTTTGCACACCAAGGATCGAGAGCTACCACACAATGTATGAGAAGGTTAAGCAATTGAATGTCTACAGATGGGATACATCCTATAGGAAAGCGATCCCTAATTGCTAGGACTCAAATAATTATTGCAAGACCCTTTCCATTTGTAAAAGACACCTTCAGATACAAGCAGTTATGTATTTAGGCTACACACACTTTGAAAATGATTCCAAGAAATGCTTTGGTCCTCTCATGAAGGCAGCACCTCTTTGCTATTCAGTTAAAGCAGCCATACCTTTTTCAGATTTTGAGAAAAGATGCCACTGCTTTAAGAATCTTCACAGGAGAAATTGCTGAGCAAACTAAGTTTGAAAATGTTTTACTGAAATGCTTGGGCTAAACAAGGGAAAAAGACTTCAAATCAATAGATTTTCAATGGCAGTTTTAAAGTCTTTGAGAGACTGCATGTTGAGTATGACAATAAATAAAGTGAAACATGAATAGGATCCTTAAAAGATGCAGTGATTGAAGAGCAACCAAGAATTCAATTTTATAAGGAGTTAAAAAGAATATTTACAGTAATACATTTTGTATTACTATTAAATCTATTATTTTTTCCAGCCAGTTAGGTTGTCACCAGATCTTCAGAGTGAACTAAATGGTTTTCTATCATCATCCATTTTCTAAGACAGATTGTTTTTTAAAAAAACATGCAAGTTTATATGCCTTTAACCAGCTCACTATCTGCTATTTTGCAATTTTGTGTTTACTGAGATGACCACCAACTACTGACCTAATCATAAAAAAAAGTGAAAATCACTGAAGTACAAATATATTGCTTTATACACTATTGTGTTTTTCATTAAAAAAAAAACTGTAAACCTTTGGAAATGCATTTATAAGAAACATTTCATAAATATAAGTGCAATGTTGTTAAAATAATAATAGCTTTTTTTACTGTAATGCTGGTTGTTTGGTTAAAGGGATTGTAAAAATACACGATCAGATTGAAAATCAATTTCTACTTAATAAGGAACAACTTGTGAGTAGAAATCATCAACTTTTTAAAAAAAATTCATTTATCTCATGGATTTATCCACAAATCTATTACCAAAACTCATACAAGAGGGAAATTCTGAACTAGTGTTAGAGGAGAAACAGGACAGAGTTGCTGTTCATCTGTAAACAACTGGGCTATCTGGTAACTTCACTCCCAATAATTATTCTGGATAGGATCATGCTTTCCCTGAAAGAAGTGTTCTGTAACATTGGGGTTGTCTCGGACTTGCATTTTGCTGGATCCACAGATGAAAGCTGTGGTGGTGAGGCCACTGCCTAGCTTCAAAAACTCCAGTGTGCACTACTGTAATTGACTGGATTTCTCATCCTCCTGTTCTCTTACGACAAGAGGGCACCTTCTTCAACACTCTACCAAGGTATGCATCTAATAAATCCTTAGCAGTCCAGTCTTGCTTCCTCTGGATCTGTTGTTCACTCACTTCAATCTTGAGTGAGTGCTGCTTGTACCAGCTCACACTTCTTCACTCTCCACGAGGCATTCTTTGTATCAATTGATCAAAAATTTCTGGCTCTGCTGCTGTTTCTCCCAGTTTTAAAACCCAGTTGTGGTTTGTACATCACATACTACTTTTTAATGGCCACATTCTCTTAATTCTCTCATAACTTTCTGTGTAAAAGGTGACACAAGTGCAGCTCAGCTGCTACTAATGCTTCTGCCACTGTCCAAAGCTTTATTATTCAATCTCTTTTCCAGTTCTAGGTCTGCATTCAGTAAGCATCTCTCCACTCTGATACAAACTTTCCTCATCCTACCACTTCAACTACTTCCAACACACTCAGTTCCATCCATTCCTGCATCAATTCATTTACATCTAACACTTTCACCATCCACAATCCTTCTCTCACTTTCTACTAACAACCAATTCATCCCTAAAACAAAATCCTGAAATAGCATCTATCAAACTAACCCCAACAAAACTAGCTATACTAAATTACCTAACCTGGGCACCACATTAAAAAAAAAGAAAAGAAAGAATACATGGATTCTCTGGAACCTGCCTCATGTGGATAAAAATTCTGTCTATTGGACATGCATCAAAATGTATGGCTTTGTTCTTTGCATGGTCATAATCTGTACAATTATTTCAAATTCAGTTTAAGTAATTTTCTTTATGCAAAATAACTGGGAAGGAAACTGGGGTGATATCTACAATCATCAAAATCTTACGATTGATATAAATAATTGAGATTTAAACACACAAGATCCTGATCAAGTGCATTCAAACTGCTACCACATGTAAGACAAACTCAGTGAGATATTTTAACGATGATCAAAAACTATTCAAGTACTGCAGTTTAATTTATTAACATCAAATTACTAGCTTTGGACTGAAAAAAAATTGAAAGATCTTCAAGTTGGCTGAATAAATCCAAAACAGATGTTCCATATGCTTTTTATTACTCCTTTACTGTTAAAGAGGTCAACTTAATAATCACAGTGCCAATCAAAATAAACATGTGTCATGACACAAATATTGCCACTTAGGTTCTTGTGTCAGATGTTAGGATGTCAGTACTTAAAGGCAGGATTTGTGTCATGAAGTCATTAAATACATGCCATTTTTGCATCACTGGGGCTTGCTGCAGACACCACTTATTGTAATATTACAGCTATCATATGCTACCTTCACTTCACTTGTGTTTCTACCTATTTAAATGGATTAAGGACAATTGGAGTTATGCAGAGCCATTTTTACAGGTCTCCTTCTAATTGTTTCTATGGGTAAACTCTACAAAATCTTCAGATACAAAATTCTAAGGATAATTGGGCTTAGCCATGAACCACATCAATAAGCCAGCTCCTTTCTCATATAACTATACAATATATATTGCCTCAGCTTTGGGACAAATAGACAAAGAGGGGTGGGTAGAAGCTGTCCGCTTTGCAATGATTTTGAACCTGCAATGGTCAGTTTGACAATGATATTGTGAGAAAGCATACTCAGGAAGAAAGTCTGATCAACTGGATTCGGAGGAAGTTCTTTGTTATGATTCTTTTTCTAGGTATTAATTCCAACATTGTCATTCAAGCAACATTTAAGTCATATAGTTAGAAACAAGTTATTTAAAGGCACTGGTATGTGGCTTGATAATCAGGTTACTTCTTTTGCCATTTGTCAAGGGTGAGTTATGTTGACACTAATCATCAAGCAGATTTATTTTCTGTTGTGCCCAAGGAAGAGATTCCGTTTTCTGTTCAGCTTCTTCCAAAGCCAGAGATGTCACAGCACTGAGCATCGTCAGGGCAGCATTCCAATTCTGACCTTTTTGGTCTGTTCACTTGATTCGTATTGTGGATCTTTCCTCTTATTTTTCTGCTTCTGAAGTCTCTCTTCTTTCTTTTTTAGATAAATGGACATATTATCAAAAGAAGCCTTGTAGAGATTTTGGAAGCAGCTCTCTTTGTCCATAGCACCTGCATAAGGTAGAGTAAATTGGGAATTTAACAGTTACTCTATAGCGCCTGGCAAGTTAGTATACATTAACTTTATAAGCAGGGGCCTTTTTCATGCCTAAGATGAGAACAGAGACTTAAGTCCTTATAATCTGCATAACATGCAATACCTAGACTCCCCATCTTCCACCAGGGAGAGAGAAAAGCTATTCCAACTTTGGCTAGGCAAAGTTGTGGGTTCCTCTTTTCCCACATATGACATCTAGCAGTAATCATTCTATCAGCTTAGCTAAATTGCTTCCATCCCATTGCTTTATGACAAGTATAACTTTAGCCCATGCTGGTTAATGTTAAGCACGTCTGAACTATAAGTAAGAGAACAAGTAACCACATTTGGACAAGTCACTTTCCAAATGTCTTGCTCTTCTACTTGCTGCAGTGCACTATTAATGTAGCTGATCCTCCCAGTCACTTGTCAAGGAAAGAGGAGGATAGATCAGATTAGTTAACTAAGGAACATAAAAGGGAGAAGACGGACAAACTCTAATATACAAAGGATGGGGAGAGGTGTCCAGTAGAAGCCACTATGACATCACATGCATCATGATATTGTTGTGCTAAGGGCACGAATTATGTAATTTACATCAGTGACAAATTACATAATGTACGTTATTTGCATAATGGCATATATTATGTTATTTACCCTCTGCAAATGCCCGTGAGGACAATGGTAGAGGCAGTGGTTATCAGTGGCTATTAACAATCTACTTTTTAGAAAAAGCAATACATCTCTGGTTCCTTTAGAGCAAGGCTGATGAGGAATGATTAACCTGCAACCCGAGTCATACATAGCCTAAATATTCCCTCTTTGCAGCTTTGCTGAAAACCGACAAAAATTCATGCCATTTTAAAAGAAGAAGCAATGAAAACTATAATGCAAACCCTTACAATAAGCACATCATGGTTTAAAAATCAAAGACATCTCTCAAACTATGCCCAAACCAAGTTCTACTGATATAAATGTTGTGGACCCACTTAACCTGGCTGCCTCAGCCTCTCCTAAAACACTAAGTGTGGCACTGTGCCTCAAACAGGTTGTTCACCTTTGCTTGGAAGAATTATTGTTCAACTATGAAAGATCAGAAACTGATCAATATACTATGACCATTTCTTCTTTGTTCCCATGTTTATTGTTGGTACATGCTACAATTAAGTTGAGAAATTGTTTGGTTCCTCATTGACCAACAATGTCACAGGAGTGCACTTGTCATTCTGGCAAAGATCCTTACCCATTAAGATAATTAGGAGTTATGGTAAGCATTATACAATACAAATTTAGCCAACAAGATGAATTTAAGGATGACATTAGCTGGTACTTTACTCAGCAACTGTGCAGAAGTAAAAACAGCTATCGTTAGGACTGCAATACTTATCTACTTCAGCAAAGAAGATAATGATCACCTCTGCATATCTATTAATCTTTCCATTTGACTGCACAAAATTAAGTCTGTGGTGGATTTTTGATTCCAGGAACAGTTCTAAAAAACGGTCAAAATATTCATTCCCACCCACCTTACCCATCTTCAACATGCTACAGCAGAAGAGATACTTTGTTCCTCTGATGAAGGGGAGGAGAGGAAAAAGAGCTATTAAAATGCTGGCAACAAAAAGATATAGCAACCACCATTTCCATAGGGGTAGACACTAATTAGGACTCATTAACCAGCTCTCTGATGTTAATTATCTGCAATAATCACTGTCATCTTAATAGTCCCCTTTCCTCATCTGCCAATACAGAAGAACTGTGGACAGCTCTCTACTTATTACCAGGGTGAGGGTAAGTAGGTGGGAACCATTCCATTGTGTTCTCATGTCATTCAGCTGCTCTTCTGTGGTATCAATAAGTTGGACATTTGACACCTGATCCCTATGGCTTAGAGCAATGAGGCTTCCAGATAACTCCTCCCACCTCCAAGAGCCAATGCTCATGCAGAAACCAAAGCTAAAACTAAAGTCAGCTTTTATGGAACTTCAGGGATGGATTCTCCAAATCTTAATCTGACCCTCAATGTAAAGCATTTGCTTGGCCTGTTAAACTCATCTTTCCTACCTTCAAACACTGTCCAATGGTCACGTACGTACTTTGATATTTTCACCAATTCTTTCTTGTCAATAACAGGCTGAAAGAAAAGAACAGTAGCTTTTGAAAATTTCATAGGAAGCAGGGGGCTTTTCATACAAGCTGGCTTGTACTGAGAACAGCTCCCATAATCTTTTGTTTTGCATGACCCATTTCCACCTCTTCATGAAGGTATACAGCAACAAAGAAAATATTCCACTTATACTTTTAGAAGAAAAATAAACAAATTAGGTCAGTACTTCTGTTTCCTTATCAACAGGTCTAGTTTTTGAGTTTAGACTGCTGTGTACTGACCCACAATACACTTGTTTTATATCTACATACACACAGAGAGAACTGCTACACCCCTCCTCATTTTCTTTTTAACCAAGAAGTCTTCAAACCAAGGTAGCATATTCTGACAAACCAAAACCCCTGCTGCCAACAAAATGGCAGGACAGATGTGAGGAAGAAGCTTCACTGTGCTTCTGGTCTTTTTTCTGATAAACAACAACAAAAAGAACCTCCTTTTGAGTCAGATGGAAGATAATTCAATCTAATCAGCCTAGTGATTACTCTAAATTTTCCACAAAACTGGGACATGGCAGACAGCAAGCAGCCCTTGCATTTGCAATACAAAACAGTATGTATCAAATACATACCACGCCAAAGAACACTCAATATCATATACCCATACTTTTTATTACATGCTGTAATAAACAGATTTAGTGTCTAAAGGAAAAACATTCCTCTGACAAGGCGCCAATCAAACCAGCTGACATAAATTCTCTTTTTATATATATAAAATATGTCAGATTTAGTTGTGATTAGAACTGAGCTGCTATATCCCACTCCCTAATGTTCAATTACATATTGCCTAACAATATTCTAAATTTTAATCTGAGGGAACTATATTGAATTATATTTTCTTAGGAAATGTTTAGAACTAGCAAAAAACAAACAACAAAAACAAAAACAAAAAAACCCAGCACCATAGAAGAATCATTGAAAGCTGAAGAGCTGAAGTATTCTAATACAGAAATGCACAGTATCCCAACCAAAGAAATTCAGCAGTGGCCCAGAGTCCTTTGCCAGATACCACAGAATTAAAAACACACGTAGCAGTCTGTGATCATAAAAATTCTCTCACCTGCCACTGTCCATCCTCAGGCTGGTAGAACAGAAGAGGTATTTGCTGATTCTCCTGCAGTACCCAGAGTCCACCGGTTTCCTCAAATGCAACATCCCAACCTTTGTGGTTCAAGGTTATATGCTGTTTAAAAGTTAGCTTCTGAGCACTGGCATCAAACTGGAAGATGGATACTGCAGAAATACTTTTAGAAGCAACCAACATTAGTTGGCATGTTACTTTTACACATCAGGTTTCCTACATCAAAATTACTCTCATGAGGTAAACAAAATGGGGAGGTATGGGGAGGCCTCCTGTCTTCAGCCCCAGATTTTTCATTTTCTTGGACTCTCCTTTCCCTTTTTTAGAAATGTTTTTAAATTGATGTTTTATGCATTTATATATATTTATGCTTTTAATGTTCTGTGTGAGTTGCCTAGAGTTCCCCCATTGGGGGGAGACAGGCGGGGGAGAAATTGAATGAATGAATGAATGAATGAATGAATAAATAAATAAATGAATAAATAAATAAATAAATAAATAAATAAATGGTACATCAAGTATAGTATAGACTGGTTCACATCTAATCAGAAGTAACTCCCACTGAACTTATTAGGGCTTATTCCTAAGTAAATAGATATAGAATTGAACTTTAAAAGCTGTGTATAAAATGCTATCACATGCTGCCACTCTTCACAAACAGATTAAATTAGATATAATCTCTCCTACTGTAGGCTGGTACATGCAATATGGCCACCTGAAGGAATTCCCAATGTTTCAAGAAATAGTTTCCATGATCTGCCATGAACACACTGTCAGCAGAAGTAACTTCACAATGTGAGCATTCATTAGAAATCTACTATAAACCCTTATTATATTCCATTAATTCAAATATGTTTCATAATCTTCCTGTAAAATAACATCACCGTGCACAGAGCCACATCCTAAGACATTTAATCAGTTGATTCCACAATAAATATAAACTTGACTTGTAATGAACTAATGTAATTGTCTGCTACCTCTACAGGAATTTTATTTTTTTTCCCCTTACCAGTCATATAAAATGGCAGTGTAATTTCCTTCACAACAATAAGCTATTCTTGAGACTGCATATTTCTGAGGAGGAAAAGAAATGTAATCATAATCTGCAAGAACTGAAAATCTTTTTCTGTAGGAAGAGGTAGAAAGAAATAGAAGAACAGCAGGAGAAGAAACCTTTTTAACAGAGTTCAAGGTCTTACTCCAAATCAGAGGTGGGGACCAAAAACACATCAGGTTTTCTATAACACAGACAAGCTGTCTTTTACTCAGCCTATCTTCACTTTTGTTCTGAGCAAACACAGGAAAATAAAGAAGACAAAACATCTAAGGGGGCAGGAGTTGGATGGATAGTTAGTATGCAAAAAAGAAAATGTCCCTGACTTCCAGAATCAGTGCAACCACTAAGGCACGCCCAATTGTTTAGTTACAATTTTTAGAATATCAGCACACATCTGTCTACATGGTAGAGGTATACATTATAATGCTCAGTACTGCAGAGAGAGGATATGTGTATCTGTCCATGCAGATAACTCTCAATTTAGCATTACCCAGACAAAACACTGTCAGACTATCCTCTCTAGGATCAACTCAACAGAATTCATGTAAAATTAGTAGTAAAAAATTAAGGTAAGCCTCCAGTAACATGAAGAAGAGACACTTCTAAACAGTTTTAAATATTAGTGTTCTAATATTGTGAAATGATTATACTCTAAGATAGCTACTTCTCAGAATAACAGAATGTTATTTACCAAGAAACCTCTATTTTATAGAATCAAGAGGTGACTTTCAGTAGCATAAACTTGCTCTCAACTTCATCACAGTTCAATAAATTCATTCAAACAGACAAGTACAACCAGTGTAAAAAAGCAAGTAAAAATGGAAAGGTACAAACTATGTTATAGAAAATGTCCACATAAAAGACAATTACCTTCTCATTCTTAGTGGCTTCATATATATTCAAATGATTCAACTGAAAGCAATGTAGTTCTTTCCCACTTTTATATTTCCAGAGCCTCAACGTACCATCCTAAGGAAGTTCAAGAGCGGGGCTAATTATTTTTGCCAAAGAAAAGGAGTTATTAATTTCACAGAGACCTTCTCTCTCATACATACACACAAAGTTTGTATCATACTAAGTTATGATTCCTTTAACTATGATTGGTTAAACAAGCTATAATGGCTGAGTCTACACCTAACTTTAAGCATAAGTAAATCTGTGTAAATGTGTAAATCATCCTGATGTGCATTAACACAATTTGATGAGCAAACAAACCACATTATGACTTAGCACAATTATGAATTCAGTCAGAGGTTTAAAAGCCATCTTAGATACATATACAACATCTCACATACATACAGCAATGACTTCTAAGAACACACTGTTGTATTTTATACTTCGGTATAACTAGATATTAATAATGAATCATGTGGTCTAAAACATATGGGAGAGTGATTCCCTGCAGTCTTAATGATGCTTCATGTTTCAGCCCAAAACATGAGAGAAAGCAAGAGAAATTACAATATTTTACTTATTACAAGAAAATACATTTTCATAAGCAACTTATTAAAATTCTAGATTCACAGAGTCCCAGATAATTTACAAACCCCAGGAGATAATTTACATACCCCGGAAGCTGATAAAAGAAGATCAGGAAAGTTTGGGATAACCACTATTCTGCTGACAAATCTAGAGAGAGAAAAAAATAAATTGAAACAAAAGCAATAAAGAGTAAAATTCTATGTGCCTATAGCTATGCAAGAAATTTTGTACCTAGACTGATATCTTACCTTGTATATCAAGAAAAATCCGCATATGAAAAAGTTTACCCTAATTAATTTTTCTCTTTTTTAATAAAACAGCTTAAAAAAAAAGTCAAGCAATCTATTCAGTTTCCCAAAATAAACTCTCATCTTCAATTTTTACATGACAATGAGAAATAAGAGAAAGAACTAAAATAAGGGGGATATAAAACTATAAATTGAATAGCAGACTTCCATTTTATTTCATGATCATGCTGAACTGCTGGACTTCAAGTATCATACTAGCATAGATTTGTATATGATAGCTGTAAGTAGCAACTTCTTAGTGAAGTGTTTCTTTGAACATTAAGGCTACTAATTTATTACCAGTAGAAATTAAGTTGTTACTTCAGATATCAACACTATCCGGATGGATATGACAATAAAGTGAAGTGAGAAACTAAGCAGATTAGAGAAATCAAACCCCCAAGCTATGAAAAAAATGGTGAATGCACTGAAGACATTTTAGAAACAAATGCTTACTCTATTGTGAATTTACCCAATAAGGGAAGCACATTGGAGATACATTGACATGAATCATCTTACAAAATCAGCAAACCTCACTTGAATCTAGGTCCTTTCGGAAAGGATGAGAAGTCTCAATTCTTATCCTTCTTTGGGGACTAAGACCATCTGCTCACCAAAAATTAGCACTTGTGGGGAAAGAAGAAGAATGCGCGCACACACACACACACACAAAAGAAACAATTCTCTGAAATACTCTTATATTATTAACAAATGCTTTCTTATGTTAGGGAATGTTCTAATGGGTGGTGTCTTGGCTACATTTTGAAGTAATCTGTGACAACAGCAACATATGCTTTTCTGAAAATCTGGATTCCTCAGCATCCAACTCATTTCTTTTTTCCAGAGTCAGAGCTAGAATGGATTCCTGAAAAACCTCCAAGAAATTGAACATTATGATTTTTCTTAAGTATACAGAATTACTGATCCCAAGATAGTGATTAGAAAGCTAGCTGTTATGAAGCTTGAGCTTAAATATCACTTCCTTCTTGTTGTTTCCTTATGTCAGTTTTGCAAAGAGGAGGTGCTCCTTTTTAATCACACTGAAAACAGGTTTTTGGCAACACTTACTCTCTGTGACCAAGGCAGAAGGACACTATTACATGCGGTGCTTTAGTCAAGCTAACTCGGATCTTCTCATCTCGATCAGCTGTTACGATATACTGGTCATCAGGACTCAATGCCTAATGATATAATACAGATCAATAGAAATAACCCACAATCCCATGTGTTCAGGCATAGTCATCCACCCACCAACCACATCATTTGTTTGGCTTCAAGTTGATAATCTGAGACAGGGTGGGAGAAATCATCAAATGTTGCTAGTCTATAGCATTTTACAAGGCTGCTTATATAGATACACATTTGTCTTAATTATTATTAATACACTGAAAAACTTACTTCTACTTTTTTAGTTTTATTGACAAAATTGAGCCCACTAGATAACTATGAAGTACTCACTATCTCTCAGCCCAAGCTACCTAATAGGGGTGATTCTGAGAGAGAAAAAATTAGGACAAATTACCATGAATACTACCTTGAGATCTCAAGACAGAAAGCAGATTATAAATGTAATGATAGTCTTTAATCAAAGTATTATTGGAAGGATCTACTAAAAACTCATGTGTACCAAATCCAACAGGAGAGACAAGTGTCCAAGCTCAACTGTTCCTGCATTTTTTGGTTCTATTATTGAATAAGAATACACATCGCCAGATTTGTCAGCAACCAGAATCTTGTCTTCTGCAGCTGTTATTATCAGGGAAGTACATCTTCTCATAACAGGTCTGAAAAAAAGAATTGACATAATTAAGGTCCAATCATCTTTGAACTTCAGAACCTAACAAGACAATATCTTCAGCAAAAACATAACAAATCTGTAACTCGCATTATCTCTTAGAATTCTAAAGATGGTTTGGAAACATATCCAAAAGATATCAGCTTGGAAGCAACTGTATTAGGTTCACAATAAAGAACTTGCATCACAAGTATGTGAGGCTTGTCTATGGTTTGTGGGACTTGCCAATGTCATGGAAAGTGATTTTGAAGCTGTTGGCTTTTCCAAAGAAACTTGCAGAGCAACACAAAAATATTTCTAGGCTGTTCTTCAGCTGCAGTTGACAACAGAAACATAAAACACAACAATAAAGCTAAGAAACAAATCCAAGCAGAAAGATAAAATTTATATAACAAGGTAAGGAAAGCATTTTTTTAATGTGTGTGTGCCTCTGAGTCAGCCTTGACTCCTGGCAACTGCCTGGACTAGTCCTTGAAGTTTTCTTGGCAAGATTTTCAGAAATAGTTTGCCATTTCCTTCTTCCTAGGGCTGAGAGAGAGCAACTGGGCCAGGGTCACTCAGCTGGCTTCAAGCCTAAGGCAGGACTAGAACTTATGGTCTCCCGGTGTCTAGCCTGATGACTTAACCACTACACCAAACTGGCTCTCTGAGGAAAGGATGCATAATGGTAATTTCTGTTGTTAATATTTAGATGAAAAATCTTTATTCTAAAGCATTTTCCTTCCCATACCTTACACTCAGACATTTCCAAGAAGGCTTTGTGCAGAAAAGAATTAGTTGTTTGTTGTCATCAGTCAGAGCAAAGTACTTCCCTGATGAAGAAAATGCACAGGCAAGGATATTGTTATTTGTTTTCCCTGGTGGCTTTCCATCTTCACTAAAAAGAGAAAAAGAATGTGAAGGATTTGATTCAAGAGTAAACTATTTCAAACACAACTTCAAATTATTTTGCAGAATATCCTTCCTTTGATGATGTAATAAATTAAGAAAGGAGGGAAGTATGAACAGCTATTTCCTACTATTTATTTCAATTCATTGATTCTTCTTTATATTTTAACTGACATCATGGTAAAAAAAGACATATTTTAAAAGACTAGCAGAGGTTTCTCCCTTGTATAGACAATGCTTATCTAAGAGACGTAAATGCCATATTCCCCAGAAGTACCCCTAGAAATGCCTAACTATAGATCCCATTATCCCCAGTTAGCATGGTTATTTGTTCCTTAATATGAGATGGCAGTAGAAGTAATGTTCTATATACCTGGGAATTTAAAGGGTCTCACCTTTGGTTTTCTTGAGGTTTTCTGCTTGCAGTAGTGCAGTCATAAATGAAAAGATCATCAATGCTGTCAATTAAATGAATATACATAAAATAAATATTTCCTATGGAAGCAATCTCCCTTGGACTGAACTCTTAAACAGAGCCTGCTCCAACCTATTAGCAACCTATAGCACTACTCTTTTTTTTTCAAACCAAAACCTAATCTCACTTGTTGGCATTCTCTGCACCTGTGCCAATTTCTCTGAATCTTCCTTAAAATATGATGCTCAGAACAGAAAGTAGTACTTGAAGTAGAATATGATCAATGCAAATATAGTGGAGCAATATATCTACTGATATAGAGAAAAACTACATTTGCCTTTTCATCAACCTTACATTCAACCTGTGGTCAGCTATAATTCAAAATACTTCTTCAGAATGTGATTATCAAGCCAAATAAACCCCCATCCTGTTTCTGTGCATTTGATTTCTTTTTTCCTAACTGTAAATTTCATTATTATTTTAACTTTATTTTTCAGCTCATATGCTGCCTCAGTCATGAAGTGACTCTTTCAACCCACTTCTCAAAACTATTAAGATCTTCTTGAATTTTGTTTGTCTTCTACAGTATAATCTATCCCATACAGTTTTGTATCATCTAAAACTTGCTAAGTATTTCCTCTCTCACTCACTCTGTCAAGCGCCTAACATTCCTTACAAGTAATTAAATAAAATAGTGAAAAGTATCAGGAATCAATCTTCTACAATCTAACTTGATACCCCATTACATTTTGATGAGGACTACTGATGAATACTTTCAATATGACTTTTAGGCAAGCTGTTGAGCTAATTAACAAATATGCCAACAGCCTATATTGTCTTACAAATCAGATTACCATAGGGTATTTTGTCAAATTCTGTGCTGAAATCAAGATACATTATAGCCAAGGATTCCCACTGTCTATTAAGAAAGATACATGACATGACAAAGAAAGTACCTCCCCAAAAATTTCATGTAGAAATATAACAACAAATAAAACTGTCCACTGTATTGTCGAAGGCTTTCACAGCCGGCATACGATGGCTGGTGTGGGTCTTCTGGGCTGTGTGGGCGTGGTTT